GATGATATTACAAGTTTAACAAAGATATTATTCTTGTGCAACTGCCGAGACGATGAATCTGATTTCGTAGGGTCTCCGAATTGCAAAAATTGATGAAAGCTCCGATCGGGTCTGATTGGGATTCAACGATAAGAACGGCGATCGATTACTCGATAAAAAGGTCGTCCATCTTAATTAAGTGATTAGGATATTCTTGCGATTAACTCCCTTATTCGCAGCATTCTATTCGAACGAATGCTATTACGGAATTGTGAACAGCCACGGAAGGGTTGCGATAGGCCGACCGAAAAGCAGATCTAGTTGAAGATTTCTGTGTGGCATTATTCCTAAAAGCGAGGACAAAACGTCTGAGCCATTTATAGCTTCCCGAGGGAGCTATTTTGCAGTGATAATGTTGACTTGTAGTTCAGTTGATCGTAAATATTTTCACAGAGAACCAGTCCTATTATCTTCTGTCACATATTGTGCACGAGGTGGAGAGGCAGTATCTCCGAGCACATCAAAAACAACCTGTCCTCGTGCAATGTTGCAATTTTACGTAAAAGTTAGCGACTCGTTATATTGAATATTTAACGCGGTGTAAAATTTCGTATGAAATCGGCAGAACTTGTCATTAAATTAAGAAATGTGGGTTACCACAATTTCTTTAATATGCTAGCATATATACATACATGTACGTATATATATACTAGTTGGTATATACATATATATGCTTCGTTAAAGTAGCCTCGATTTTCTTATTACTTTCAGAGGCCGCCAGTTCCGATATTTAGATTGCTTTCGAATGCTGCGTACAGCGAAAGAACTCCCCCAAGGCTCGGGAACTTTTCCCGAAGCCATGAAAATTTTATAACATTTTTCTTTTAACAACTTCGTCGAATACCTGACGGAGACAAAATTAATGAGAAAAACTTAATTAGAGGATAACGTAACATACGCGTCTTCGAAGAAAGGCGTCTCCGAGAGAAATGAATTCTTACGCTTTTCCTTTTATTTTCCGGCCGAACCGTCGTCGCCCTATGCAGTAAACTCGGAATACGTGAGATTCAAAGAAAAATGTTTTACTGAATTGAGCGAGCGAAAGATCGTAAGTCAGAATCATTCCCGCAGAAAAGAAAAGCACGTTTAGACTTTCCCAGCAGTTCCGTTAGACTTGGAAAAAACGATTTCGAACGTATGTGTACTCCTCTTTTGCGGAAAACGACGATTTCTTTTATTCCGGCCTTGTCTCTCGATTGGTCCAGCAACAGCGTAAAAATCTTGGTAATCGATTGGAAGAAGTTAGCAATATTTCTGGACAAATGGAAGAAATCCTGTCGCTGTATTGTTGCTATTAAAAACGATTTCGAACGTATGTGTACTCCTCTTTTGCGGAAAACGACGATTTCTTTTATTCCGGCCTTGTCTCTCGATTGGTCCAGCAACAGCGTGAAAATCTTGGTAATCGATTGGAAGTTAGCAATATTTCTGGACAAATGGAAGAAGTCCTGTCGCTGTATTGTTGCTATTAAAAACGATTTCGAACGTATGTGTACTCCTCTTTTGCGGAAAACGACGATTTCTTTTATTTCGGCCTTGTCTCTCGATTGGTCCAGCAACAGCGTGAAAATCTTGGTAATCGATTGGAAGAAGTTAGCAATATTTCTGGACAAATGGAAGAAGTCCTATCGCTGTGTTGTTGCTATTAATAACGACCGATTTAATGGCTCGAAGTGGTTTTGAATTTCAATCGGTGCCCCCGGGTATCGATTCGAATCGGAATACATTACCATTACGGCGTTTCGATAACTCAAGCACGTTCAAGCACGTTGGCTAGAAGCTCGAGTGACGGGACGAGATCGCCCCGGATCTCTCGGGGGCCCTCGAAGTTTCGCATTTCGGGTCGAATGGCCGGAAATTTTGAAATGTTTGAACACTAGATTCGCCCGTTTGTCCACACGTTGTTAACGATCCGCGAACGACAACGGCGACGTTTCACCGAATCGATTCGAATGAGAATCTCTGGCTCGCCTTGACGCTCCTTACAAATCGATCCATCTGCCATGCCGCGCTATGCTTCTTCGATACACATACGATTATACGTACTCTCAGTGACAACAAACCAGAACGCACATTTACGTTCCATTTCCAATGTGCCCCGGCACGACCTCGACTACTGACACGAATTACACGTCCGAGGGAGCATACGTGCCCGCTCCAACCTATTTAATCCCTTGTCCGCGTCGCGGACCTGCGATATTAATTCTTCGCCGTTTCGCCGCGTTCGTTTATCTGATTCTGTAACGACCAAGTAGAGCTTAACGGTGAAACGGTTATGCAAGGAATGCTTCGCTGAAAAAGAGGAGGCGGAATGCCTCGCTGAGAAGACTTTTCTGTTATCCGCGAGCATCGACGCTGCAGCCAATCTCTATTCCCGCCGTTCTTGCTGTCGACACCGGGTGCCAACCCTTTGCTTTCGAAGCTGTTTCAATTCGAAAACGGGAACATGGATTTCACGTGTTTCCGTTTTCCATGGTTTATTGCGACTCGACGCAGTGAAACCGAGTTCCAATTGCAATTACACGCGCAATTCTTGCATTTTTCATAGTTTTCGAAATGCGGACACCTTTGGTACTGTTGAAAGTACTTTGAAACGTGGTGTAGCAATTTTTAACGGCAATTTTAACACACGAGTGCGAAGGGACGTGCGACTATTTTAACGCTAGACTTACGAGCTGTCGACACCGGGTGCCAACCCTTTGCCTTCGAGGCTGTCTCAATTCGAAAAAGGGAACATGGATTTCACGTGTTTCCGTTTTACATGGTTTATTGCGACTCGACGCAGTGAAACCGAGTGCCAATTGCAATTGCACGCGCAATTCTTGCATTTTTCATAGTTTTCGAAATGCGGACACCTTTGGTACTGTTGAAAGTACTTTGAAACGTGGTGTAGCAATTTTTAACGGCAATTTTAACACACGAGTGCGAAGGGCCGTGCGACTATTTTAACGCTAGACTTACGGGCTGTCGACACCGGGTGCCAACCCTTGGCCTTCAAAGCTGTCTCAATTCGAAAACGGGAACATGGATTTCACGTGTTTCCGTTTTCCATGGTTTATTGCGACTCGACGCAGTGAAACCGAGTGCCAATTGCAATTGCACGCGCAATTCTTGCATTTTTCATGGTTTTCGAAATGCGAACACCTTTGGTACTGTTGAAAGTACTTTGAAACGTGGTGTAGCAATTTTTAACGGCGTCTCGACACACGTGTGCGAAGGGACGTACGGCCATTTTAACGCTAGACTTACTGGCTAGATAATATTGTTAATTAATTAATTTTTGCTCTACTCTAATATTCCGCCGTTCTACCTAAAATTTACGCGATGTTCTGCCTCGAATTTTCTGTTAGCCAGTTCAAATCGTTCGTTGTCTCGTGTTTGGTTTTTCTGTAAAATTGCGATCTGTTCACTATGGATTTTATTATGTCGGTCAGTGGCTCTTAAAAGCATCGGAACGCTACATTCTTGTTTTTCTTAGAAAGTTTTCCTAGCTTACGCTGCTTAGAAGATGATGAACGATGGATTATGAAAGTAGAGGCTTGAAGTTTTTAAATGAATTCAGGTTTATCGACCTGCCGGTTCATTTTTATTATCATAGTTTAGCGTTCGATACAGCTGAAATTCAGGATCCGCGTAACGTTTCGAACCACCGTGCGTATCGTGAAAAGTTAAAAAAAAAAAGTTGCTTGACGGAGTGTTTATTGTAGCATGTTGTAATATCGAATTTCCATCGAATTCGGTCGGTACTTGTGGGTAATTAATCAGAACGTTACGAGTACACGGTAAATATGCATGTATGTAAAACGTAATACGTTCGATAAACATCAGCGTTTCGATTATTCAAGCATATTTATATAAAGTATGCAAGAATGATTAGAGCGTTCCGATGGAAACTCTTTCGAGCGAACGAAAAGAGATTGAGCCGTCAAGAAATATGACGAATACTGCGATAATAATGTTGTTAAATTGTAACTTTGTAATTGTAACTTCGCTCCTATATATCTGAAACTGTTTAAAAAAAAAAATTACAAATTTTCGTTAATGATAAACAACAACTTGTCTAAATTCTATAAATGTCTCTCTTCTCGCGGTAATAAATTGTAACTTTACATTACAAAATCGATACTGGTTCTACATGTATATATTTTGTTATTAATGCCTATGACACGAGTTATAAAAATAAGTCTGCAGATTATAAATAAGTTTAGGCTGTCACGAGAGGTCTCTTTATAGAAGTATTATATTTATAAGAATGATGGAAAACGTGGGATTCGTGTTTCAGTTTAATATAAAAATATACGAATCTTTCGCAATATTTAGCTGCCCCAGTATCTTTCGGGGCAATATCTCGGAAGTAATTTCGCGAAATGAATCGTATCTAGCACAAATTTTTATAAGACGTTTCATTAAAGATTGTGGAATTTATTAATAAGTGCAAGTTATCGATTTCTTCCAAAAGACTAAGACGACTGAAATGAATTTACTGGATTGGATAGCTTCTTCGCGCCTCGACCTACATTTTTAAACAAAATGTCTTATAAAAATTTGTGTTTTTACTTCAAATTATATATATATAAAATAATAATATAATATAATATATATATATATATATATATATATATATATATATATATATATAT